CGGCCGTGTCCCGAGGGGGCTTCGTGCTCGTGGCCCACAGCGACTCTGAGATCCTCAAGAGCAAGAAGAAGGGGCTGTTCCGGCGCTCGCTGCTGAGCGGGCTGAAGCTGCGCAAGTCCGAGTCCAAGAGCAGCCTGGCCAGCCAGCGCAGCAAGCAGAGCTCGTTCCGCAGCGAGGCGGGCATGAGCACCGTCAGCTCCACGGCCAGCGACATCCACTCCACCATCAGCCTGGGCGAGGGCGAGGCCGAGCTGTCCGTCATCGAGGACGACATCGACGCCACCACCACCGAGACCTACGTGGGCGAATGGAAGAATGACAAGCGGGCAGGCTTCGGCGTGAGCCAGCGCTCTGACGGGCTCAAGTACGAGGGCGAGTGGGCCAGCAACCGGCGGCACGGCTACGGCTGCATGACCTTCCCCGACGGCACCAAAGAGGAGGGCAAGTACAAGCAGAACATCCTCGTGAGCGGCAAGCGCAAGAACCTCATCCCGCTGCGTGCCAGCAAGATCCGGGAGAAGGTGGACCGGGCTGTGGAAGCGGCTGAGCGGGCTGCCACCATTGCCAAGCAGAAGGCGGAGATTGCAGCCTCCAGGTAGGAGGGTGAGGGGGTGGCATGGGCAGCAGGGTGGTTCTGAGTTGCCAGCTGGGCCTGGTCTGAGCAATCATGCTGTGTAGGTTAGAAGCCTACACTGGCGTTTCTCAAACTATGCCCCTGGGAACCCTGGGGTTCCTCAGAGGTTCTCAGAGGTGAGGCAAGGAAATGGTTGATCTGAGAGGTTCTTGATCATATTGCCCCTCCTTAAATAGAGCAGTATCTCTTTTGTCTATTTTATATGCTGGTGTTTAATGTAAAATGTTGATGGATAAAGAAGGTGGGCCATTCTGCTGGTAAGATGCATAGGATGGTGCCGGCTAAGAGAAAGGTGCAATGCCACCGTGGCCGCGTTCCCAGCTGGGTTTGGAGTGCCCAGCATTGCTGGGACGTGGGAGGAGGGTGAAAGCTGCCCTGGCCATCTGGCCTCCAGCCCAGATTGTCCCTGGGCCCTGGGAGACAGCACCAACTGGACAGATCGGCTGTAGGCGCCAGGCGAGACTTGGTGCTGCGGGCCAGCAGCTGTTCTGAATGGGGTTCAGGACTTTGAGTTTGGGGTCGTCAGGGCTGCTGGACCCTAAGCAGCAGGTCTGGAGTTGATGTGGCTGGGCACCATGTTGGATTTTGAGGTGTCTTTGGTATTAGTGCAGGGGTGGGGGCTTCAGTGCTGGAAGAGTGGGTGCCCAGGGAGGGTCTCCTTGGGAGCTGCAGAGGTAAGCGTGTAAGCCCAGGTGTGGTCCCGGTGAGGCTGTGGGAGGCTGTGGGCAGCAGGAACATGGCAGGTGCCTGCCGCAGGTTGAAGGAAGCTGCCCTGTTGAAACCCAAGGCCCCAGGTTGCCACACTCCTGGCTTCTAAAGGAACAATCCCTGACGGAGTTAGCCAGGAGCTTTCACCATCTATTTGTTTTCCTGGGTCAATGCAGGGCCCTCGGGTGCCCTGAGAGTCCTGGGCGTTGGGACAAGGGCCTGGGGACTGCTTTCAGTCCCTCAGGGTGTCCAGACAGGAGGCTTCTCGGAGCGGCGTCTTTCTGGATGATTCTGTATTCCCAGCCAGGGACAGCCTAGAGTTACTCCAGGAAAGTTCCTGGCTCAGGATGCTCAGACCTTCCCAACCTCGTCACTTAATTAAAATTTTAGCTCATTTGGTTGTGGTTTTCAGTGACCTTTGATCCACAGTGGAAGAACAAAATGTGGTTGGCAGAATATCTGCCACTCACAGCATCTGAGGCTTCAGAGGGAAATGAAATCCATTCCAAGAAGCCGAAAGGAAAATGGCATTGCTCCCTGAACACCGAGGCCAGAATTGCTCTGCGCACCCCTCTACTCCCCCAGACATGTTCAGGCAGCAGAAATAAATAGGAGCCGCATTTATGACGACTCACCTGGTATTTTAGGATCAGATTAGGTTCAGTTGTTATTTTTTCCATTGTAAGGGTAATACTTGCCCCATATAGGAAAATTGGAAAATAGAATGGAAAAGGAGAAAAACGACATCAGGTCTGGTCTGCTATGTCACTAGACACTCTTGTTGGCATTTTGCCCTATTTCTTTCCTTTCGGTGTTTATCTTTTGTATTATGTTTTGTTGACCTCAATGGACAAGAAGCAGTTGCAGGGCAGGCCCCAGCATCGTCAAAGATTTGGGGTGCTCGTGACCGCTCCCGTCTGGCTGCAGGTTAGTTCGCGGCCAAGGGCCTGGGAGGCAGAAGCGCAGCATTCAGTGGACACGGAACTGGTTTAATTTTAGAGTCTGATGACCAGGCAAACGTCTTAGGACTGAGGAGCTTTCTGACAAATCCCCCAGAAATGGGGGGTGCTGGAGCCATTAAGGAAACGAGGTGGTGGTGTGGGCAGAGCTCAGAGCCAGCACCCAGGGAGCTCCACCCGGGCAGGTTTCAGTGTTTCTGAGCCTTAGTTTCCTCGTCTGTGAAATAGGAGTAATGCTGCCTGCCTGCCGCGAAGCCCTGGGAACTGAAGTGAGGACAGCTTCGTCCTGGGCTGGGGCCGCCCGCTCCCCCGGGGAGGGACGAGTGTGGGTTTCATGAGGGCTGATCGATGAGCAGCAGGATCCAGGAGAGGGCCAGGGCACGGGGCCAGGAGGGCAGGGGGGGTACAAAGAAGTTGGGGCAGCTCAGGACCGTGGGGCATTGGCCGCCAGCCTTGGTGCTCCCACGTTGCCTGGGGAGGCCTCTGCGGGTGTGTTACTTGGTGTGGGGAGGACTGGGCGAGGGAAGGGAGAGGATTAAGTCTGGTCAAGGTGTGACTAGTGCCTGGGCAGGTGGTTGGGGAAGAGTAAAGTGGGTTCCTGGTTGCATGTATCTGCTACATTTGGGGCTTTGGAGCCCTACCCCATTCTGGGAACCAGCCTGGCTGACTGAAGTGTCCCACTCTGTACACACAGATTTACACACCCCACACAAACGCACACACACACTCATAACACACTCACACCACTCGGGGGGGGGGGGGATGCAGCCCCCTTGTCCCCTCCATCTCCTCCTAAGTGGGTCTCCCAGATCATGGGAACAAAGTTGCAGAGACTGGCATTTAAAACCTGTCTGAGAGGGGGGCAAACCTCAGGTGGTGTCTGGAGCCATCAAAGCAGTGTCCAGCCTGGGCCATCGCTGCTGAGTTACCTGGGGAAGAGGCTAGCCCTCTCTGCACGATTTCCCGTCGAAGGACAGGAGGAGCAACGCACACAGCCCTCAGCTTGTGTGGGGCTTGGTGTGCTCCTCTGACCCCCCCGACCCTCTCCTGAGCCATGCCAGGCCCTCCCCTCTCCAACTCCCGGCCTTGCAGGGAAGTGGGCATGTCTGCACATCCACGCGTGTGACTTTGTCGTGCTGGCTCCTGGTGCCCAGGGTTGCTCCTTGGAGGCCGGAAGTGGCAGGGTCCTTGGTTACCACGACGGGCATGAGACTGAGCCTCGTTCCAGGCTGTGGGTGGAGCTTCTTGTCCTGCATTTTCTCAATGGGCTTAGATTTGGATAAAAGGAGGGAACAGAGGCTGCGTCCTCGAGAACAAAGCAGCAGGTGGACGGCTGGGTCAGTGCCCCCCAGGCCCTAAGGCCCACCCTCCAGTGGAGGGTGAAAGTGGCACTGCGGCCCCAGGGGGCTGCGGAGTGGCTGGCCCCGGGTGGACTCTGGTCACTGTCACAGCCAAAGAAAGAGACCGCCAGGCAACAAGGGAGCTATGGCCGGCTGGGCGTGGATTACTGAGCTGAATCAGAGAGACACGGGTTGGTGTGTCCTCCTCAGAGCGCCGGGGGCAGCTGCTGCTAGGAGGGGGACACAGGCTTCCTTGTTAGATGGGGGTCTCGCCGAGTTTGAGTTCTGAGAGGTGGTCCCATTCTCTGCATTTCAGAGAGGCCCACAGTGGCTAAGGGCCGGGGACTGGCCGCACAGCTAAGGGGGAGCTGGGCTTCCTCCCGGGACAGGGTCTGCAGCAGGTTCCCAGGCCCTCGCCGCCCCTGCCCCTTGTGTGCTGGAACTGCCTGTGGTGCTCAGACACATGCTGGCCGCCCCGAGATGCTGAGCTCCCGGGCTGCAGAGCCCTTCACGTCTCTAGGTGATTCTCAGGTGAGCTCAGCACCCTCGGAAGGTGTGTAAGATGCAAATGGCTGGGCCCTACCTCCAGAGTTTCTGATTCGGCAGGTGGGTGCCTAAGAACCTGCATTCCTGAGGAGCCCCCAGGTTGCTGCCCCGAGAACCATGGCTCTCCTCTCTCACAGGAGGCCACAGCGGAGAGGAGACGCCCACAGACCTGCCTGCGACAGAGGCAGAAGGTGAGGGTGCCCTGACAGGGTCTTCAGTGTGAGGCGAGGGTGAGGGGCAGGAGAGCCAGGCGGGTTGATCTGGATGAGTTGAGATCAGAGCAGAAGGTGCCGCCGTCCTTCACCTGTGACTTCCTCCTGTAGGGTCCTCTTCCCCAAATTGTGAACCCCCATCACAGACGGGCTGTGTTGTACTCCATTCTTCCCTGCCACACAGCCAAGTGGGAAACTCAGGGGCACTCTCAACTAACTGCTGTAAGCCGCCTGTATTCGGATGGACCACAGATAAAGACCTCTCTTGCCTTCATACACTCAGGACACTTTTATGAAGTACAGTGGGGCCTTGACTTACGAGTTTAATTTGTTTCCGAGACCGAGCTTGTTAAGGAGCTCGTTAAGGAGCTCGTTAACTCAAATTACTCTATCAACTCAATGCAAAAAATCGGCCGAGGGACAGCTGGTATCTCAAAAAACTCGTTAGTCGGGACACTCGTAAGTCAAGGCCCCACTGTATCTTCTGCCTAAATAGCAGATATGTCACCTTTGCACCTGCTGCTTCTCACCCTTTGCCTCGCCCATGGCAGACATAACTAGTCAATCACAGTGCTCCTAGCTGCTGGCCTGGAAGATGAAACCTAATGGCCATCACCTGTTGCTCAGCAGAGGTCCTGGTATAGCCTGTGGTCTGGTTGGGAATCAAAATCTAAACTAGAGATGAAAGAGGCATAGAGAACCCCTAGTGCAGAGGTGGTCACACTTGACCTTTTAGTCGCAGAGCCCTTTGTCATGCAAACCCTTACAGCTCCCCAAGGTATAAAGTAGATGAAGGTGCTGTTCAGAGTCAAGCTGGGGGCCAGTCAGGGCAGACTGTGGCCTGTTTGCCTCTCTCCTTCCTACCTCTGTGTGGTGGCCCCAGGACATTCAGCAGTGTCCTGGGTTGATGGTTCATGCTTGAGCAGGTGTCTGACACTGCACCCAGTGCCGAGGGAGAGAGTGCTGGGATCGGCTAGCTATATCTGCCCCGAGCCGGGCAGGGAGGGTTCTGGCTGCTGTGAAACCCTGACCTCCTGAACCCTACAGACCCCGGGAGAGTTACATGGGAACCTGGTGGTGTTCCTTTTGCTGGGACCCCTCTCTCTGCCTCCTCTGTGATTTATCTCAAACGTTACTGTGTTACAAGAGATGTCGGAGGGTTTTACAAAGTGGTAAAGAGCTGAGAGAAGGGGGTG